GGGAAGAAAGGATCATCAGGCATTAGATCCCTCACATGTGTGGTTCAGAATAGGGTTTTCTTTCCTATGAAAATCTAATGCTACTGCTAATCTGACAGGAGGCAGAGCTCAGGTGGTAATGCTCCTGTGCAGCCCTGTTCCTTAACAGGCCACAGACCAGGAACTTGGTCCTGCAGTGAGGACTCCTGCCCTAAGAGACTAAGGCAAGAGATGAGGAAATTGACAGAGAAGTTAAGTTACTTGTGAGAATCCTGCAAGTGAACTAGTGAACCAGAATCCAGACAAAACAGTCTGACTCACACTCAAACTACCATCTTCCCATCCTGACCTAATGAGAGATCAGAAACTTTTCCATGCCAATACTTGGATCATGAGGTTATAATAGAAATGTATTATAGCACTAAAAATCAATCCCAAGCCTCTCCTGCATTTCCTTTTCAATAAATGTGCCATCATACATGTGCAATGTAAGCAAGAAAACTAGGTATTGTTAAAAACGTGGGCTCTGAATGAAGGGACCCCCAAACAGGCTTTGTGTGAACAACATAGCTGTTTATTTCCCCTGGGTATGGGTGTGCTGAGTCCAAAAATGGAGTCAGCAGAGGGTGGAGGGATAGGAGTTGGTTTTATAGGTTCGAGGTAAACAGTGGAAAGTTACCAGAGTTACAGTTTAGGGAGATTTTTTGCAAGCTGGAAGGGGTTCATAGGGTGTGGAGTCATGAGGTTGACCAAGGTCAGTTACAAAGTCCAATGGCCTTGTCAATTGAGGCCAGAATAAGAAACAATAGAATCATGTCTCAGGTTAGTTAGGCGCCACAGGGGTTGATCGTTCTTCCTTCCAGCACTTCAGGTTTTCTAATTCCAAAAGGCCCTCCAGAGGTGTATGTGCGGGTCCGGGGGTTGCCATGCCATCCACTGCTTGGTCAGACCTGACTGGTGTCATTTTTGACAACTTCCACTGCAACTTTCCATCTTCCTCCCATACATCTCATTCATCATCAAGCCCTAACAATTGTTTCTTAAATATCTGAAATGTTTCTACTCCTCTCCATCTCCACACCCCACCATTATTATTCCAAATAAAACATTTTTTTTTTTTACCTTCTCTGCTGAAGTAGCCTCCTAATTGGTCACTCTCTATTCACTCTTGATCTTTTCTAACCCATTTCCTATTTTTTTTTTTTAAGACGGAGTCTCACTCTGTCACCCAAGCTGAAGTGTAGTGGCACAGTTTGGCTCACTGCAACTTCTGCCTCCTGGGTTCAATCAATTCTCCTGCCTCAGCTGCCCAAGTAGCTGGGATTACAGGAGTTTGTGGCCATGCACAGCTAATTTTTATATTATTAGTAAATACGGGGTTTCATTATGTTGGCCAGGTTGGTTTCGAACTCCTGACCTCAAGTGATCCATCTGCCTTGACTTCCCAAAGTGCTGGGATTACAAGCATGAGCCACCGTGCCTAGTCTCTAACCCATTTTCTACAGTTAAAAATAAAGTGATCTTTCTAAAAGCCAAACTAATTGTGACATTCTTTTTAAAATCCTTCAAAGTCTCCAATTGCTGTTAGGGGAAAGACCAAAATCCTTATGCTCTTGAAAAGCCCCGTAGGATCTGGTTCCTTCCAGTTTTCCCATTTTCCTTCACTTTTCTCTATGCTTTGTTCACCAGCCATCCTGGACTTTCTCTAATTCCATAAATTTGTAACTATCCATTCATCTTTAAGACTTGAGTAGTGTGTGTGTGTGTGTGTGTGTGTGTGTGTGTGTGTGTGTCACTCTTCCCTAGGTTTTTATCATTTAACTTCTATCCTTAGGATCTCTGCTTGAAAGTCAATTTCTCAGGCCAGGCACGGTGGCTCATGCCTGTAATCCCAGAACTTTGGGAGGCTGAAGCAGGTAGATCACCTGAGGTCAGGAGTTCAAGATCACCCTGGCCAACATGCCAGGGACCAGCATGGCCCCATCTCTACTAAAAATAGAAAAGAGTTAGCTTGATCTGGTGGCAGTTTCCTGTAATCCCAGCTACTCAGGAGGCTAAATAGGAGAATCACTTGAGCCAGGGTGGTAGAGGTTGTGGTGAGCCAAGATCACCATTGCACTCCAGCCTGGCTGAAGAGAAATTCCATCTCAAAAAAAGAAAAAAAAAAGAAAATCAATTTCACATTAGAGTTTTCCTATTCTCCCAAGATTGTGTTAGATTTCTTGTGCTCTGTAATAATCTTTCCTAGAATTCTATAATTTATCTTGACAGCACTTAATTACAGTTAGTACTGTTTTATCTATCATCTATCTACCTACCTATCTGTTCATCCATCTGTCCATTCATCCGTCCTTCTATCATTTATCTATATGTTCATTTATCTATCTCTATTTATCTATCTATCATCTATCCATCCATTCATTCATCCATCCACTTACCCACCCACCAACCTGCCTACCTACCCACCTACCTACCTGCCTGCCTACCTGCTTATACATCTACCTAGGGTGATTGTTAATGTTTGCCTCCCTCTTAGATCATAAATGCCATGGAGTTCTCAAACCTAACATATAGTATGTATTTGAGAAATATTTTTTGAGTGAGTGAAAAAATAAATGAATATAATCTGATAAAATAAGAAATTTGATCTGTTCAATTTTATTTTGAATATCATGATTGAGGAATGTGTAATTCAAAGATTTATGAAGTACCTAGCAGAAAAGCATTTATCTTTGCTATCCCTTTGATGGTATGACTAGGGTGTAAACAGCATAGAAATACTACTTTTTATATGCACAATGACTGAGAATTTTCAAACCAGAGAAAATGCCCTCCATTTCCAATGATATATATTGATAGATAAGAAAATACAAATCTTTAAAGTAGCATATTAGATAATTTTGCCCTTTTTGGCATGTCATATAAATGAAATAATTCAATATGTGTTATTTGTTTTCTGCCTCCTTTAACTTAGCAAAATGCATTTAAGGTTTATCCACGATACTGTGTATGAATCAATTTTTTTCTATAATTGCTAAGTCATTCCATTGTAGATATGTAAATTCTGTTGAGTCATTTGGTATTTCACATACATGTCTTGTGTCAATATAGGTTTACAATTTATAATACTTGAATAAATAACAAGAATTTAGATTGAATGTGTATACTTAATGTTATAAAAAACTACCAAATTATTTTCCAAAGTGATTGCCCTTTTACTTTTCTACCAGAAAAGAGTCCCTATTACCGGACATACTCCATAGCAATCAACAATGTCAATCTTTGAACTCTTAGCCATGGTAATACATATATGTACTGATTTATCATTGTGGTTATCATTTGGATTTTCCTAATGGCTAACGAAGCTGAATATTTTTTCAAATACTTATAGGAAAACCTGTCTGTTAAAAAATTTGTCCATAAAAATAATTTTTTCAGATATAAACAAATAGAATATTAGAATACTCATAATTCTGTTTACCCATATGAGAAGTCTAATAAGAAAAACCGTAAGCCACCCCATGAGATGCAGAAAAGACATATGATAAAATTTATTCTTTATTGGTTATTTAAAAAATAACAAAATAGAAAAATATAATGATTTTTTTTTTGAGACAGAGTCTCACTGTTGCCCAGGCTGGAATGCAGCGATGATCACAGTTCATTGTGGCCTTGATTTTCTGGGCTCAGGTGATCCTTCTGCCTCAGCCTCTGGGGTAGCTGGGATTAGAGGTGTGTGCCACAATGCCTGGCTAATTTTCTGTGTTTTTAGTAGAGGCAGGGTTTTGCTATATTGCTCAGGCTGGTCTAAAATTCCTGGGCTCAAACAATCTGCCTGCCTTGGCTTGCCAAGGGACCAGAGGTGTGAGCCAGCATGTTTGGCCTATAATTATTTTTTAATGTACAAATTCTTTTAAAAATAATCTCTATTTTCTCATATAAATAAATCATAGGGATTCAGGGGTATTTCTCCTTATATGTTTCTTACCCTCAAAGCAGCATTATACTTGATAGTGAATAATGAGCTTATACATTAAAGTCAGGAAAAATGACAGGATGCCCATTCTCACCACTATTTTTTAACATTGTTTTGAAATTTCTGTTATGAAGTGTGATTGGAAAGATTAGGTGGTGGAGAGACAATGGTTTTTGTTTTGAGGGTTTTTTTTTCTTTATTCCTTTACATGGTGTTTAAATTTATTACTTTAAAAAAATAAAACACTATCACCACAAACAGACATTCCTATATTATAAAGTTTACATTACATAGCATGGCCTATATTAAAAAAGAATTAGAGTCTGACCCACTTCTTGAACTTGTTAAATTCTGTTACTCTGGTCTATTGAAAGCAGAAGATTGTAGATTTCGGGGTAGGAGTTAGGCAAAAGTATAAATAAGCTAGGTTGGAGATTTCAGAATGAGAGGCAGGCATAAGTTTTGGTCAATATCATTGTGGAATTTGGAACCGAGTGAAATAAATCATTAAGATTCAGGGTCAACAGAGTCCACCAAGCTTTGAACAAAGGAAGTATCTAGTAAGTACTTCCTACATATCAGGCACAACTAATTTTGGCTAATTCTATAAATTTTCTTAAAAGATTGGACTAGTCATCTTTATTTTATACTGGAAAAATATAGAGAGAAAATAAGTAATCTAGGAAGGCTTGGACTTGAACCCATGTCAGTCTAACTCTAAAGATTACACTCTTAACTACTGAAGTATACTTCTACTTATTTGGATGTTCCTCAAGATAAGCAGCAGCTCTAAACTTCAGGGGCATCTATCAGATTAATTCTCTTGGTTTATCTTTCTTATGTGGACACTATCACTATTTTGAATGCCACTTTCAAACTCAGATTTTCCCAGTAATTTACAGGAACTACACTAATTTTTTAAAGCATTTTTTGGAATTTTTGCCTATAGGTGTGTTTTTCAAACTGGATTAGAACCCAGTAATAGATCATGGAATCAATCTAGTGGATTGTGATTAGCATATATTTTTCTTCTTTTTTCTTTTCTTCACTCAGACCCAAAACATCAGCACTTATTAGGTGAGCTGCTGCTGACAAAAAATATTGTCATCCTGATAGTGTATTTTAAATGTAATAATGCAGAATAGGAATATAGGGATAAATAGAAAATATTAGAGTTTATTAAACATAGTGATGACAAATATTTTGTGAGACATTACTTTCAGGTATACATACAAACATACATACACCATGATGTATGGATTGCAATGTAAAATATATTGTTATGTTGAAAGATTTAAAAGCCACTGGTCTATGGGACATCTTGCCTTCCTATTAAGTGCTATTTTGTTTCCTGGTTTTCATTTCAAGTAAATAAGTCTTGTCTCCCTAATAAATATAAACCCAATTTTAAGCATAAAGGTAAAATGGCATACGTCTCTGAGTTTCTTATTGCACCTAACCAGATGCTTGGCACATAACAGGTTCTCAACAATTATTATAATAACTGTAAATGTAGGTGAAGAGGCTAGGATAGCATTGGGGAGCAGAGGGCAGCTGGCCAAATCAGTAGCTGAGTTCTCCTAGCTCTGGCTTCCAAAACGCTAGACCAAGACAGGATTGAGAGACAGCAAACAACAAGATACAAGGTGTCAGATAGGAGCAATGATTATTTTATATGGTTTGTTTTTTTCCTGAAGTATTAGATGATCTGTGCAGAAAATATGTACTACAAAGAAAATAATAAAGGGGAAAAAGACACCTATAATCCTAAAACTGAAAGATAACCACAATTATTTATAACATTTAAAGCCTATTAACATTTGCTACATTTTTGCCCTTTCCTGTAGTATTACTCTGATTGTACCCAGTGCCTGTGCCTCACCATATAATAAATTCTCTTCATAATTATAGTTTCATTGGTTATATTCTAGCTCTTACCGTCAAAAATGTTAGACTTTTTTCTAATTTGTAATATTATAAATTATGACTTAACTAACAGCTTTATGTAAAACTTTTCCTGACTTTATTTCCTTAGATTCTAAAAAATAAAATAAATTTTAAAATGACCTTTTAAAGGCTCTTGATATATATTTGAGGTCTTCGATTATTCACTATGATCAAATTTTAAATGGCAAGGCATTGTGTTCTAGGACACCCCACTTAAAGGGCCATTGTACTTTTAATATGGGTTGATTTTTGGTGACTTTAATTACCCATATGCATTATCTCTTTTGCTACCTGAAAATATCCCTTGAGTTTAATCTAAAAATGTCCCAGTTGACCTACAGAGCAATTACCATTTCCCTTATGAATGTTTGCAAAGCCAGAATTTTAACTGTAAATGAGGTTTGTGCATCTATGTTTGAATTGTATATGACCTCGGATTTAGGGTACTGATGGGATAAAGACATATCCTTTGTTCAAAAATAATATACTGTCTTTATTTTTTGGTTGTATGTAGTGAAGAATATTGCTTTTCTATATTTATCAACAGTGCCTCCACAATGTGAGTGGGTGGAATGGAGGATTAATAAGAAAACCTTGAAGCCAACCTATTTTTATGTGTTTTCTAGTTTATTAGAATAGAATCCTATTTTCATTCTATTCCTCTAACAGTTTATTTTTTTCCTCAAGCAGACAAATCTTTGCTGTCTAGAAACAAAATTTATACATTGCTCCAGTTATGATAAACCTTCTGACATAGGGGGAGATAGTTTTGGTGATAGATTAGACATTTTCTGTAGCCTAGCATTTGATCACAACCATCAAATCTGGCAGCATATACTGATCTGCCATGATGGTAATTAAGAAATACATATTTCACCAAGTTATATTAAGTTCACTCAGTTCTTCTGTTTTTTTTTTTTTTTTCCCTCTCCGGGTTCCATTAAAAATCAAATTAAAAGAATACTGTGAGAGAATGTACAAGTTAACCTATTCTACCTCTCCTGCTTTTCTGTATCTCAGGACATTTTTCAGGACTTCTTGCTATCTCAGGGACTCAGCCAAAAGCATCACAGTAGGTTTAGTCAAGTGCAGTGCTATGGGCTGAATGTCTGTATCCCCTCAAATTCATGTTGAAGCCCTAACCCTAAATGCAACTGTATTTGGAGATGGGACCTCTAAGGAAGTAATTAATGTTAAATGAGGTCACAAAGGTGGGGCCCTGATTCAATAGGATTAATATCATTGTAAGAGACACCAGAGAGCCTGTGTGTGCACTTTCTTTCTATGTCTATCTCTTTCTCTCTCTCTCTCTCTCTCTCTCTCTTTCTCTTTCTCTCTCTCTCTCTCTCTCTCTCTCTCTCTCTCTCTCTCTCTCTCTCTCTCTCTCTCTTTCTCCCCCTGTTTTTCTCTCTGTATCTTATCTCTCTGTGTGTCTTTCTGGTGTCATTCTCTATCCTGCACATGTACCAAGGAAAAGCCATGTGAGCACATATGGAGAAGGTGGCAGTCTACAAGCCAGGAAGAGAGCCCTCACCAGAAACTAAATTGGCAAGAAACTTGATCTTGGACTTCTAGCCCCTAGAACTGTAAGAAAATATTTTTGTGTTTTTTTAAGTTACCCAGTCTGTGGTATTTAGTTATGGCAGCCCAAGCCCAATACAGGAAGGTGGTAGCCAACAGGACGATAGGGAGGTCTGCTTACTTCTCATCATTCCCTTCTGCATCCTGTGTTGTCTCTGCAAGTGCTTCTCTTTCATAACTTCAGTCCCTCAAAGAAGCTATTCACTTTGAGATCCCACTTCTGATCAAGATGTTTCCAACATGGCTCTGGCTCCCACACATTGTCCCTCCTGCCCTAGAGATGGTAATGGCTTCCTGCTATTGCCAATCTATATTTGCCTTACTCACCTCTTTGTTTTTAAGTAATTGCATCATCTATTGTTGTAGTCCATTTTGTGCTGCTATAACAAACATACCTAAGACTGGGTAATTTATAAAGAAGAGATATTTTCTCACAGTTCTGGAGGCTGAAAGTCCAAGATCAAGGTGGCAGCAGATTCAGTTGTCTTGCAAGGGCTGCTCTGTGCTTTCAAATAGTGCCTCGTTGCTACATCCTTCAGAAAAGAGAAATGCTGTGTCCTCACATGACAGAAGGTGGAAGAGTAAGTGGGCTAAATGTTACTTGCAGCCTCTTTTATATAGGGGTCTTAATTCCATTCATGCAGGAAGAAGCCCTTACGACCCAATCACCTCTTAAAGGCCATACCTCTTAATAGTAACACATTGACAAAGTTTCAATGCCAGAATTTTGGAGGGGACATATTCAAACCATATAATCTGGGAAACAATTTTCTTTTCTTTTTTCGAGATCGAGTTTCACTTTTGTTGTCTAGTCAGGAGTGCAATGACATGATTTCTGCTCACAGTAACCTCTGCCTCCTGGGTTCAAGTGATTCTCCTGCCTCAGCCTCCTAAATAGCTGGGATTACAGACATGTGCCACCATGCCTAGCTAATTTTGTATTTGTAGTAGAGATGTGGTTTCTCCATGTTGGTCAGGCTGGTCTCGAACTCCAGATCTCAGATGATCCACCCACCTCAGCCTTCCAAAGTGCTGGGATCACTGTGTCCAGCCTGGGAAACAATTTTCTATAGTAAATCTTGCTGGCTGAAGAACCTAGAGTATGGCTTCAGCTTTCTTGGATAGAATTGATTGCTACAGAGGAATTTTACTTAACAAGGCTTAATCGTTCAGGGTTTAGTGAGTTTTTCAGGTAATAATTGTTGGAGAGTTCATGTAACCACTCTAACTTGTCAAGTTAGTAATGTGAAACCTGTTCTACCATCATTTTCTACTAAAGTCTTCCTCTTTTATTGTCTTAACTTATAATGCATTGAAATGGCAAAGCTGCAAGTTAAAAGTTTCTTCCAGTGTATTCCACATTGCTGCATTCACTTTTTATTTCATTCATGTTTCTTTCTTCCTCCCCTATCTTACTCAACAACTTATTTTTTGTTATGAATATCTTTCAGTTTGGATGAAAAAAATGATTGAAGTGAAATGACCCATGATCAAATTTAACACTAGGAGACTCAGAGAAATCATGAACTCACACACTGATTTTGTCACTGATTGCTTCAGTAAAATCTTTAATGGCTCTTTAGATGATGTGTTGGATGATGAGTTCTGATTCCCACAGATAATTGAGTCCTATACCCCTAGGTTTGATTTCTCTTTTCTTTTTTTTTTTTTTTTTTTTTTTGTCCACACTTTAAATTGTGCCTAGAAAATTCTCTGGATAGAATTTGATTACAGATATCTATTATATTCTGATGAACACATATCAGTTCAGTCTTCCAAAGCATTTTATAACAGAGTGAAGCTGACCTTGTAATACAGTAGCACACTTATCAGGCCATTAAAGTGTCCCTCTTATGTAATAGTAGCTGGTTGCAGTTGACCAAAAGAAACTTTGATGGACTTTCACTTGGAAACTTGTGCAAATATATTCTTCATTTTGATTTCTTTTCATAGGAACTTCAGTTTTCCATAGCATGTTTCAAAAGAGGAATGCAAGTAAACATGATATGATATTTTACTTAGGACCTATCTAATGTCTCACAGAGAAGATTTTCTATAGAGTTCAACCATAAATACAAATAAAGCATGCTCTTTACACAATTCATTGTCATACTTCGGTATTTATGAAAGACCCCATGGAGGTATGATGTGCTTTCTTTCCAACTGCTGTGTATTTTCAACCTCCACCAAAAAGTATAATAAATAAATCTTAATATGCCAATGATTTAATTGAGCCTATAGAAATAATCTAATTTATAACCTTAGAAAATATATTTTGACCTAAAATTATCAGCATTTATTAATAAATTGTGTGTTCCTCTCTATATTTTAATCTAATAAATAAGATTCTTTTCTGATCCAAAACTGGAATTAACTTTTGCCTGTTCTCAGTAACCTCTTCCAACCCATATGTAACACCATTTGTTGTCACAAAGACCTTCTAAGCTTAACTTTATTAGAATTTGTAAAAGTACAGAATTTTTATCTTCTCAGACTTGGTAAGAAATTCCCAAATTATAAGTGCCTTCATCACCATTATGATTATCAAATAATACTGCTCTCCCCCAAGTGCCTCAGGTTGCTGGAGA